TGGAGAATATGCTAGTGTTTTGGATCTTAACCTAACAACCAATCCAGGAATTTACAGTCACCGTAATGTCTCTATTGAGATCTTCTGACCACAAAGTCATTTCAGTGTTGAGTGAATTACCGATAACTGTTGTGGAACAATCTAAGCCGCGCAAAGTTTGGCATCACAGATCAGCTGAATGGGAGGATCTTCAAGACCATTTCCGAAATTTACCCTGGTTATATGTTTGTTTCAGCTCTGAAGATCCATCAATTTGTACTCCCAAAGTCACGGAAGTTATTTTATCATGCATGGATGCATATGTTTCTTTTTAGATGAAACGACCTCCTAACGGCAAACCTTGGTTTGCCGTTTGTTTGCCTACCGGCAGTAGCGCAAAAATACTAGTGCCGAAAACCGAACCAGGTTTATTAATACTCGCAACAACTGCAAACTTGGGATAAATGAAAGTAAAAAACTTCACATTCAGAGCATTAGGGATAAACTGCTTGCTAATCCCAATGGGTCTAAATCCTTCTGGTCGGTAGCTGAAGCTGTTATTCAGAACTTTACAAAATCAACAATTCCACCACAAATACGTGCGGATGGTTTAATCGCAACAGCACTCGTTGAAAAAGCAACTCTATTGGCTGAACAATTTGCGTTCCACCCCAAAGTCGATTTTCCGGGAAAGGCACCTATTCCCACACTGTAATCCACAATGCCGGAAATTACTTTTCGACAGCGTCTGGTCAGGCGAATTTTGAAACAGCTCAATATCAAGAAGGCGTCTGGTTCTGATAAAGTGTCCGTCATCGTACTTAAGACGTGAGCAAATGAACTCGCACCAGTATTTTGCAGACTTTTTAACCTGTCTTACAAGAAAGGGGTTTTTCCTTCTCGTTGAAAGATGGCTCGCGTTTAGCCATTCCCAAAAAGGGAAAGAAAACAATAGTGATATCAAAAATGATTGAGAAAGTCTTAAACCACCATATCCTCAAATATTTGGAAGGCTTCAACATCGTGAGCAATCATCAATATGGCTTTCAGCTATCGTATGCCATTCATATTTGGAATAAGGCAATCGAGCAACATGGAGAGTCAAGAGGTGTTGCGCTCGACCCTGTGTGGCATGAAGGTTTGCTGGTCAAACTTCGATGCTATGACATGTTGGATAATTTTTGTTAATAGCTCTTCAGCTTCCTGGAAAAACGTTTCCTGCAAATGGCTGTCGTTGGATATCTTTCGAATACTTTCACCATTAACGCTGGTATTCCCCAGGGATCCATTTTGTCTCTAACCCTTTTTTTATTGTTTATCAACGACTCATTGGAAAAAAACAAAAATCCAATATATTGCTTTGCTGATGATAGCACACTTATCTCGTCATTACATTTGGATCCCAGGACATCGGCTGCGGAAGCACATCTTCACCGGCAGCAATAAGTTGAATATCTTAATAAGGATCTGGAAGTGGTTTCTAATTGGGGTGAGAGTAACCAGGTTCAATTCAATGCCACAAAACTCAGGCATCGATTTTCTTCCTGAAGATAAATATCTCCGAACTGAATACAATAATGTCAGGTCCCACCCCCCCTGCTTTTTCGACTTGGGAAAAAGTTAGGAAAAAGTTGGTAAATTTTGGGCCTCTTAAAATCCGTTTGAAATATTGTATTGAATATTCCTATACACGGTGGATATGATGCAAGACCAAGGACCTTGGTCCAAAGTAGAATAATTTCCATTATTAAATTTTTTAATTACCAACATTTATTTTTGTTTGTGCATACCCTAACGGGCATAAGCATTCAGCCAATCTTTGGATAGCTAAGTAAGAAAATTAATATATTTCAGTAGTAACTAATCCCTCGGCTTTCATTTTTTCGTAAGTTGGGAAATTTTGCTGCTGGGATTGGGAAAATTTGGATTCCCTCCCCCCTGATTTTTCTTTTCGCTACAGCCCTGCTGATCATCGTTATGAGACAAATTTTTTCAATAAATCTTAATCTTTTATCATCGGTAATTTGTATTAAATATTTCAACATATTTCAAATTGTACCCTGATTGATTTCTCATCTCATATGAATTTTTCACGAATATCAAAGTAGTTTGGATTCCGAACTGGCAGTTAAGTTTCATATGAAAATTATATATCTACGTTTGTTCGAAAGTGGTTGACAATGTTTCGTGGTGTATTTCATCAGTTCGGACTTCCATTGTCTAATATAATATAAATTGATTTGATAACTCTGAAAAAAAATCAAAAAGATTAACTCAAAATAACATAAAATAAAATAAGATTATATTATGTATCTACGATATGAGGTGTATTTATTGTCATTTTTACAGTACAAATATCAGATATGCCAATAAAAATAGCTTCGTATTGACTCATAATTGGTTCCAGGACCATTTTCAGTTACAAAACTATGAAATAATACTGTGACAAGTCTCCATGTTGTAAGTAGTACAATCCTGAATAACTTACTGTTGCTATCTGTGTTAATCTGAAAGTGCTTACATGTTGATGATTTTTATTGCACTGTATTCCATTCGTACTGAGTAAGTAGTAATAAATGATTTTTCAGTATATTTCGACTGAATGTCTGATATAGCCGTGTCGTTTAGGATCAAGATATTATGTAAAAGAAATACTATCAAAATACGATGACGACTTTTGATTTCCACAGAATTTTCGAAATAATATTTCACTTTTAAGAAACTTTCATGAATTCTTGTGGTCTTTTCATAACAATTCACACTTTTTTGGACCACACATATTTTTAATTTCAATCAGTTTTGTCATAATCTATGTGGACTAAGATCTCCAACTCAGGATCTTTAGATCCTGGGTCGAAAACACTATTACTGCGCTACTCATCACTGTTATTATTTCAATATTATGAAATCATAATTTGAAAGTATTTTTCCTAAAAATTTCAAATTTTTGAAAGGGGGTGCCTCATCATCAGAAAAGCAATGAAAAATAATTCATAATAGGTTCAAGAAAAGGCAAGTATACATACATATATTTTGTTAGAGAGATTTATTCCAAATGGCAATTGATCTTATTTTGTGTTTCAATTTTACAAGAAATTCCTTTAGTTTTTGAAAAGATGTCAGCACCCATTCATAAAAGATGTTGTTCTAGGATTATTTATGAGCAGTTTCCCTTCCATCAATTCATGACATTCGAAAATTCAAAATAGATGATTCTGTTTTTGTTGAAATCTGTTAAAATCTGTTTTTCCGTTAATCAGCTGTCGCCCCCATACGAACGACAACTCTCCGAAGTTGAGAAACTTGTGCGAGCTGAGGACTAACGAGGACTCACCTTTTAATGGGTGATTCCTAACACGGTTGATTGTTTTGATACTTCCATTAATGATATTTTGACAAAATGTTATTATTCAAAGTGGTAATTGTTATACACTACATTCAAAATTTGGTTTTCAGAAGCACACAAGACTTCTCAGAGAAAATACTATAGAAATCGATACAAGTTGAAGCATTCTCAAAGTGCGATACTTTATACCGAGTGTTTGATTTTATCGGAAACATCTCATCAAGAAACAAAGTTTCAAAGCAAAAATATTCCAGACAATTCGAGATCTACTAGGATGATTTTGTTAAAAATTTCAAAGTTCATATTTTTATTCTAAAACTAAAAACTCAACAAACTATTTTCATTAATAAAATATAGTTTCCTATAATCGGTTGTATTAAAGAAACATCAGAAAACAATGTATAGAGTGGGCCAAAGTGGACACTATGTTTTCAAACTAGATGGATGAAAACTAATGGCTGTGACTGAAGGTCAAATTTCATGAAAACCGCATATCGAGTTACGGCATGTTTTCCGAAAATGTGAGTACTCTGGCAAAACATCTAGTGTGCTACATTTTTGAAAGGTAATGTTAGGCTCTATGGAAATATGCAGGAATGAACAGGGTGTCTCAATAAAAAAACAGTTTTTCATCAATAACTACTGATATCTCATTTGAAAAAAGCCTACTTGATCAAAGTAAGCGTTTCAAATTCTACATGAAAAAACCTAAAATCTCTGTATTTCAAAGATGACTTTAGCAAAACATCAAGTGTGCTACATTTTTGGGAAGTTAATTTTGAGTTCTTTGGAAATATGCAGTCTTATCAAAAAATTGTTTTCCATCAATAACTACTGATATCTCTATTGAAAAAATACGATTTTCACATCATTGAATTCTACCTGAAAAGAGGTTTTGGAAATGTTTTTATAGAAACAAGAAATTTTTGACAGGAGAAGAGTTACAGCAACTTTTCGAGAATGCACATTTTCGAGAAACATAATGTAACTCAGAAAAGATGATAGATATCGATATGCGATTTTCACCAGTAAGTTTGTCGTAGAATTTGACCCTCAGACACAGCCATCAGTGTTCATCTATCTAGTTTGAAAACGGATGTTTACCTTCAAAATTTTCCAATTTGGCCAATACTCAAATTTGGTATGGAAATTGCATGAAATTTTTCAATGAAAAAATCAATTTGTTTTGTATGTTTCCGAAAGTTCTGTGAAGGAGATTTAATTTCTTTTCAATTTCATGATAAAACACCTAATTGATCTCTAGTCACAACTTTGAGGAATTCGATCTATTTCGATCTATTCGATATTTTTCATATGTGGTCGTAATAGTTAATTAGCCATAATGGAAAGTTCTTTGAATTTTAGTTTTGATTATTGTCGATTCATATATTCTAGAACTGAAAAACACAGTAATTCATATAATTTTCTTAAAAATTATTAACTTCGAAATTTTCATTACAATTATCACAGAAAAAATACTGCAAGTTGATTGTTAAATGATTTCTTCCAATAATTGTTGATTATTTCATTCTTGGATGTATTTCCCGTTGTGCTTCAAGGATATGAATCAGATTATTCTATAAAACATTTTTTCAAATGAGTTTTTTTAATTGAAAATACAGCATTTCTCTTTAGTACCTGAAATGATTCAGAACACGATTCTTTCCATATCTAAACGATTTTTATTATTGACAGGTTCCAGACTGGGTGCCCGACATGTTCAAGTGGCATTTATGCTTCTGTTGCTTGGTATTGGAATTGGAATGAGAGTACACCTTTCTGTAGCAATAGTAGCGATGACAGACAATACAACGAGCACAAATCCTGATATTCCGGTAAGGAAAAATAAAGAACATGCTAGTTGCGTGGAGGTATACAACTATCGATTTAAATAATAGTTATTCATGATGTGAGTGTTAAAAGTAAGGTTTTATTTTGTGAGTGAAAAAGTTGGCGAAACGAACGTAGCGAGTTGAGCAATTTCACAAACAAAATAAAACTTACTTTTAACACAAATATCATACAAAGTTTTTTATACAACTGTTCTGTTTTCATGATTAAATAGATAAAAACACATTTTGACATCTCTTGTCAGTTAACTATTTTCATGTTATCGCATTTGCTGTGAAGTGACCGTGTCGGGTGACACCGCGAATCACGTGGTTACCAACAAACAGTATTGTTTACAGCTCACGCGTTTTATTCAAAGTAACATTTGAAGTTTTTGCTGGTGTTTAATGTATACAATACGTTTGTAACAGAATTTAATTGTATCTATATCTATTCATCATAATGAAAAATCCTTAAAAATTGAATGATTTCACAATGAAACTTCTTTGAAAATTCTCTATGAATATGTGTTTTTTATTGCTATTTGATCGACAAAATTCGTGCTAAAAATACTTTTGACACTAGTATTACAAATATTTTCAACACGCTACTTTGTAAATATCATCTTTTGATACTCTTGACAACCAATAAAACTGTCACTTTTAATGACCAATGAATGGTCAGATCTCGGAGGAATAAGTCCAGTTATCACCAGAAGACGATTGTGGATATTAAACATAGAAACGTCGTGATGTAACTTGGCGTGGAATCTTTCAATTTTTAATTTTCATCTCGTGTTACTAGTTCAATTTTTATTTTTTTGTTCGTTGCTTGTATTTTATTTCATTGTTATTTCAGTTTTTTTTTGCTTGATATAATTATTATTTTTCAGCTAATCTTATTAATATTTCACAGATTATTTCAGGGATTTCAAATCAATTTATATCATATAAGATAATGGAAGTCCGAGCTAATGAAATACACTGTATATAAAAATGATTGATAAGTATAAAGAAATCCCTTCCATTCTTGCTATTTTCTAGACCCGTGAATGGAACATAGTGTCCTCATAATTTAATATTTTTATCAGAGATTGATCTCTAATCATTGGTAGTTTTGAAACACCATGTATTGAGAAAAGAAATATATCTAGTAATCTGTTTGTTTTCCGCTATCTTTTCAGACTTACGATTGGAAGAACAAGAGCCTAATAATTTCATCTTTCTATTGGGGATACTTCTGTCTTCAAGTAGTTACGGCGGAACTGGGTCGGAAATATGGTCCCAAAAAATTTTTACTATTAGCTATGTTTATTAATTCGACTGCAATCTCACTGATACCTCTGATAGCTAATTTATATGGATCAATAGGAGTGATAGTTTGCAGAGTGATAATGGGACTGACACAAGGCTGTTTTTATTGCAATGTTCATAACATTCTCTCCAAGTGGACTCCAGATTCTGAAAGAACTCGTTTGACATCTTTTGCATTATCAGGTATGTGAGGTGAGAAAAAACTTCTTTTTCATGAAAAAAAATTATATTTTTGAAATAATCCAAATCTAGAAAAGTCAAAGACTTTACCACATCCAGATTCTGAAATTTTCAATTTTGTATATATGTTATACATATATATACTATTTTGTATATACTATTCTGATCATTCCCATATTTATTTCAATTTAAAAGCCACCGGTAGACAGTGGTTTCAGCCTATTGGGCATCGTCAGTACCGGGCAAGCGGTTCTCGATTGAAGACAAAATGTGAACAATCAAGAAAATTACTTAATGAAAATAACTGCGTCAACGCAAGCGAGACATAAGTGGAACCACCTTCACCACTCAGTTTGAGTGATCTCATTTTAGGTGCGTCATTGGGCACTATCTTCACAATGCCGATTGTTGGATATATGTCATCTTCAAACCTAGGATGGCCATCTGCACACTATTTATATGGAATAGTCGGATTCTCATGGACTATTTCCTATCTCATTATTGGTTCTGACAGTCCTAGAGAACATCGCAGTATAACAGAAGCAGAACTGAAGTATATCGAAGGTTCAATGAAACCAGCCGAAAAGAAAGTAAGCCCTTCCCACTCTTTTTTCCAACACTTATTTTTGGGTATATCTCCCATGAATGGTCATGATGGATTGCCTACCTCAGCAATTCTATGCTTTTCTAAATATCACATTTCATAAAATTTCATAAAATGCACAGCAAAACTGTCACCGTTTAGTCGAAGATCGAGCAATTGAATGAAGTCTGTTGCTTTACTGTTATGCATTATTCATTTGAATATCATTCGCATTTGACTCTAACGGTTGAATATCCAATACTCAGATTCGTATCTGAATCGTTCTTTTAGATAGGCAATGAGAAAGCAATTCATATTCTATTGTGAGAATTGAAACATCTTTATTTCAGTAAATCACAAAATACTATCCATTTCTGATGATCTCTTCTCTCTACTAATCTATCATACATCAGTGAAGGTTTGTATGTTATACGAGCAGCAGTCTGGTTTTTCCTGAACAAAAAAAGATAAGAATTCATTTGTCTAAGACTTTGGGAACTATTCGACGAAAGACTTCTTTTGAGATTAATATCAAGAAGTTGTTTCTTGTAATTTCTCCAACAACTATCACCAGAATTAGTTCAGAAATAAATTTACTTCATGAAAAACATCCTTCAATAAAAAACAGTGAGATAGCCTTTGGAAACTCCTTTTTCAAAATGTTTTAACTGAATCCTCATATAATAAACACGAAGAAATAAGCTGAAAAAAATCTGTCAAAAAATCTGGCAACAACCAAAATTACTATGAAACAAAAAACATAATGAAAACATGTGGAATGTTCAATAAAAACTATTTGCAGTTGAATCAATCAGTCAAGAGCAAATGATATTAGAATATTTTGGCAAGATTATGGGTAGGTGCATAAATAGATGATGTTTGAGAAAGAACCGCAGTGACAAGAGGATTGGTTTCAAAATTATGTGGACATCAGTAGTTGCGTTTGTATTTAAACGCAATGTACATCTTCATTGGACTGATGAGAACAATAACGTTTTGGTACCGATGTTTGGATTGGGATATTGGATAGAATTTTGATAGGATTATACTTTCTCTGAAACAAATATCCCCAGACTTCATGAAAACAATTACACTGAACAGAAAATATGTTAACAAAAATTATAACAGGTCCAAGAGAACCTTTTGACTTGGTCATTTCTTTGAAATACATAACTAAATAACATTGGAATGGTATACTTGTTTCGAAGTGGTAAAACACGGATAAGAATACATGAAATATAAAAAAAATATAAACAATTTAATAAACTGAATAATTTCCATTTTTTCAACATATATACACTTCACTCATTTGCTTACAGAACGCATATGCTGGAGACAATATTCTGGCAAGCCATGATGAACCCCTCAGTTTCCGACTTCAGCCCACTCGAACTGAGGAAAGCAAAAGTCAGGTGCTTTGATAAGCCATGGTCTCCAATGTTATTAAAGAAGACCCCATGCATTGACTCATCCTTGTGTTTTCGCAAAAGTGAGGTTATCTCTGCGGTTTTTATATGAGCTTTTTGCTGAACGGGTTCCAACTCGGTGACAGCGTTGTGGCCACCTTGTTCATTGTCGAAAACTATACCGAGTTCATCAGCTGCTCGGGCAGCTGCCCTAAAAAGTAATGCTTCAATTACTGCTCCTGACGAATTTACAGCCTGTATCCAGTACTATTCCGTCATGTAGACAATCCAAACTCAAAAGTTCACGGCCTCCCTCTTGCCGGGGGAAGTACAACCGTGGAACGGACGATTTGGGATGCAAACTCCTATAGAGATGTATCATTTTTTGGGTCTTTACGTCGAGTTGATACAGCTCTTCCCGATCCAATTCACTACTCCAAACGAGCAGAGTAAGATTGGAACGGCAAGAATATTTGTTGCAGCAACTTTGTTCTTCCTCGACAGTTCCGATGACCAGATCTATCGAGGTTTGTGCTGATACTTACCACGGAGAGAATTCTTCACTGCTGTTACCTCTTGTGAGTGGCATTGTTCCACCCCAAGATAAGTATATGTCTCTCCCGCATCCAAATGGTGTGAATCATACCGATAGCATGCATGTACTCTTCCACCACCCTGAAGGACTGATGGATATCCTTCTCTCCAGAGGCATAAAGTTTAAGATCATCCATATAAAACAAACGGGTGACCTTGTGCCTCCGGTTTCCGGGGGTGCCACAGTTATACCCTCGAGTATTTCTGAACGCAACGGATGACACTATGAAGGGATTACGATACAAATTTACGATACTAAAGTCTATAAATGATACAAGAATCTGAAAGATAGTAGAATCGGAAATCACTAATGTCTTGACAGGGGTAACAATAAAATTGGGAAGTTTAGGAATTGACATCACTAAATGATGGATTTCAATAGTAATCTGAATTGATGAATGTAGTCGTTACTACGTGATAAAGGATTATAATGAAAAATTAAAAATTAACTTTTCTGAAAATGTCCTTGGAAAACGAAACTACCGTAACGTTAGCTACAAATACAAGTGGTATAAAACATAAGAAGTTATATTTCTCATTTTCTATGATGAAAATTATTCTCTTTGTGATGGTTTTCACTTTTAAAAAATAAGTAAAGACTTTTAAGAAAATATCTCTCCTGTTTTATAAAGATAATTTATAATAAATCAAAATAGTTATAAAGAACAGTATATGCGACAGAAAAGTGCATGTATTTTGATGAGGAAAAATTTTTGGAAGTTGTTTCTAACAGCTAATAATAATAATTATTCAAGTAAACTACTTACCTCATAGATAAAAAAGAAGTCCAAATTACTACTTCATTGAAAGATTGATTAACAACTTAACTTTCCACCGAGAAAATTGAAATAAATTAACTAGAATCGAGAACACGGCTTTTCAACAATAAAGTCAAATGAGCTAACTTAAATCGAAACAATTTGACTGTACTATAACTTGGATCTATTTAGACGTGCGCCAAGTCGACTTCCAACCATACACGGCTACAAATCCAGTGCGATGTAATTAAAACGCTCAATAGAAGAGTGTTGAAGCTTGAATTCGTAATCTTCAAGTCATTATGATAATAATGATGATATTCCAGTCACATCATATCTACATGATATTTTGCAGAGGAGCCCACGATGCACAATCGGGATTTACTCGAGCGTCATAGAGACTAGAGACAAAGCTTATATGATAAGAAGAAAAAAATGTTATATAATATATACTTTTTCATCGATGGGGGAAGCTGTTATAGATTATTAAATATGTAAAAAAAAAACTGTTGCATGGACATACTCGAGCGCGTCAGATATTGATACCATTAATGTCCTACGTATTTTTAATAATGTTGGTATGTTCATCTGATCGTTTGCATGATGTGGTTGTACGTAAGGGTTAAAAATGAAAAAAAAAATTATTCGAGTGCGTCAGATTTTCTAAGGGGGTGTTAAGTGCAAAAAAAAAGCTCTCATTCAATAATCTGACGATTTTGATCTGACGCAAACTCGCGGCCATTATTATAATGTGCAAAAAAAAATCGTCATTTTGAAATACTCAAGCGCATCAGATTAAGATATATATGGTTCATCTTTATGTTTCAGACGTGCTGTCTCATAATCTGACGATTATCTGGAGGGATTTGCCTAATCTGACAAAAATATTTTTTTTTATTTTTTTTTATTCTTTGAACTTGATTAATTGAAAAGCTCAGGAAATAGCATGCAAATAAAAAAGTGTATGTTTTTTAAAGTAGAATACTTGTATTTAAAAAAAATAATTTAAAACAAATGCTCAAAAAAATTTAATTTTTTATAATCAATTGAATAATTAATGAAGAAAAGAGAAATGAAATATGTTTTTTCAACTTTTATTTGTAGCTAACGTTACTGCAGTTACTTATACAACATATAAGTTTGAAAATGTCCTTATAGGACGAAACTGCAGTAACGTTAGTTACAAATAAAAGTGGTAAAAACATAGAAAGTGTTAGTTACAAATAAAAGTGGTAAAAAACATTGAAAGTGTTAGTTACAAATAAAAATGGTAAAAAACATAGAAAGTTTCATTTCTCTTTTCTTCATTATGATTTCCTACCACGTAGTAACGGCTACATCCATCAATTAATTGATTTTTAATCATCATCTTCATCTTCATCACGAACGAGTCTCTGTGATCAGCTGTGATGGCGTCATGGCAACAGAATTCAGAGTGCGGACGGAGTGAGAGAATAATAGATAGAGAAAAAGTGAAAAAGGAATAGAAACGCTGAGAGGGAAATGTAGGCATCACGCAGCTGCACGCATTAAACTTTCGGCTTGCAGAAATCGTCAGATTATATATTTCGATATATTCGAATTATTTTCTTCAAAATAAAAACAAAAATTTGCTACGCTCGAGAATGTCGAGATGACGTTTTTTTTACAACTTTGCTGCCCTCACCTCTCTTTACGTCACTCTCAAATTGTCAGATTACTAGAATATACACTTTTTAGCATATAATTAACTCACCCTAATCTCACCTTAATCTGATGCGCTCGAGAATTTCTGATGATCAATTTTTTTTACTAATCCGATCCTTTATCCTCCACGGGCGGCCTTATATATGGGGCTCATATTTGGTGGAGGTACTTAACCGGGTACAAGGTATCCCCCTGTATATTAATCTGACGCGCTTCAGTAAATCCCGAAATTCCCGGTTGGGCTCCCCTATTAATTGGAACAGTCAAGTAGAAAACAGCACATATTGAGTATATACAATCAAATAAAAGGACAGTTTTGGAACTATTGGAGTTATTAATAATAACTGTGCATACAAACTGTTTTAGCCGAATTTACCATCGGAGAATTTCTCTCACACCATGTGGTGAATGAAGTCCTTTGACAGTATATCCATTTATGCTTCAGTTGCCAAAGCATATAGAATTACGTGTTTAGGTGCTGCTAAGGTGTAAGTAATCGTGCAGAGAGCTGAATGGCCGTAGGATGATATGCGGTTACGAACGATCCCCTTGGGGAACTGGGCGAAACCTCATTGTAATTAGCCTGGTAATGCGGGGCTCTGCCAGAGGTGACCAAATATTCTCTTGCTAATCGTGGAAACACACACATGAATGAAATAAACACAAAAACAGAAACAACAAAAACAAAAACCAATCCCGAGGCTGGACAGAAGTGCTCACCTCAATCTAAGGCGTTGGCTGGGGATGAACAGAAATGAGGCTGGACATAGCAGGTCACCTCGTGATGTAATACAAAGGCCAAAGGCCAAGCGCCGAGGCCAAAAGGAGAAAGAGAGCAAAAGAGTGGCAGCAACTATAAGTGCATCCTCCTCCTTCCTCACTCCACCTCCAACAGCAAGGGTACTTCCTGCGGCGGGCGCCAAGAGCTTCGCCTTGAATTAAGGCAAGGAACCCGCTGCCCCTGCAGGAAAGCTCCCTCACTTGTGCACCTCCAGGGAGGGAACCCCAAGAAGGTTGAAGAAGCCGCTCAATGACAGTAATGTCGCTGGACCGTTAGACATCTTAAGGTTGCCAAAGAAAGTGTGTGTTCGGCGAGTCTTGGCCTACACCTACCTATATGAAGGAGACGTATTTTAGTGACCTGTCAACCTTCCTGGAAAGGACAGAATGGACAATTGCCTAAGAGGACAACTCCTCGGGAAGATGTAAAATGGGTCATATGTGGCCTAAGCAACCTTTCTACTGTACAGATACAGATACGTGTTTAGTGCTGACGTATTTGGGAAGATCATTTACATACAGTAGAAAAATTAGCGGACCAAAAGAAAGGATCCTTGAACTACACCAGCCCTCACATCATGTGTGAGAGATCTCTGATTGTCAATTCTTACAATAATTTTTGTGAACTCAAGATATGAAGCCAGCCACGAGAAAATTTGCCACGGAAACCCAGTTCACTTAGCTTATTGATTGTAATATGGGTATTGTCGAGTGTTCTGTTATGACATTATATTTTGACAGAAAGGAAAGCATTTGCGTGTAAATGTATTTTTCGATAATTTAACGTAGTGGTACACACGGTACCGTTTTTAAAAAATTGATTATGTCTGCTATAATCCCAGATATATGGGGAGTTATACTTTCGATCGCCCTCTTAGAGAGAAGGAAATCAACACATTCTTTTAATGTTATTCAGCTTCATCATCAGTCATTCAGATCACAGCTCTTCGATTACAATAAATATAAGTGCACATATTTATTTTTTTCAGCTACCTACTCCTTGGAAGTCAATTGCAACATCTGTACCAGTATGGGCCTTATTTTTTACGCAAATTGGTGGAAACTGGGCTTACACTACGTTACTTTCAGAAATTCCAATTTACATGAGTAAAGTCATGGGATTCGACATGCAAAATGTAACTTTCTTCTGTAATTCTGAAAAAAACGTGTGTAATTGATTTCATTTTTTCAGAACGGACTATTATCAGCAGTTCCTTACTTGACCAATTTCTTTTTGACTTATGTATTTTCCTTTTCATCAGACTTTCTGATCAATAAAAACATTTTATCCATAACTTTGTGCCGGAAGATTGCTAACTCAATAGGTGAGTTTCTATTGTTTTGTTGCTTAATAATTATTGGTTTTTTTGACTTCGTCAGTGAGGTTAGGCTACTAGCAGACGACACCTGCATGACTAATACATGAAGCCATCGTCTTGGTTATCGCGTATTTATATCACTGACGAAGGACAAAAGCCAGAAATACGTAATATATTTTCTTTTGTATGCGCTTCATGCCCAAAATTTCCAAAAAAATTGCATGGCATAAGCCAGCCGACATGCCGACATTCTCAGCAACATTTCTAATAGTGTTTCAACGATTATCCGAAACAATTTCTCCCACTTCCCCAACATTTTCATCGGTTGGTAATGCGCTGGGGCATCCAGGGCGAGATTCGTCATTCACATCTTCTGGACCTTCTGTGAAAAGCTTGTACCACATGTAAAAAAATATTCTGACTCAGAGTACAAACACCGTATGCGATTGTCACCATTCCAACTGTTTTTGAATACCTAATTTCATTCTTCACACAAAATTTGATGCAAATTCTTTGATTCATATTTCTCTATAGCAGAAAATTGCCGAACCCGCAAAATACTTCTGGGCCTAAAGCATCCCACCAATCAACAAACTGCTTAGACGTTGTTAAGTGATGGAATAGTATCATTTCTAGGAGTTCGGGAATATTAGTTGTTTTTTTGCCAAGACCAAACTGAACCTTTGTTATTTCATTTACCAAAGAACCGTTCAAGGCAATGAGACGATAATATCTCAGCAGAGACACGATATAATATAATTCATCAATACGGTAATTGTAAGACTTCATCCAGTTTCTGACAAAATTAAAATTCCTGAATTCATTGTTGGAATTTAAGGAATCATTGGCCTAATTGAAATAAATATTATCGATTACAATTTTCTACCGAAGAACCAAAGATAGAGCTACCGACCGATTTCGCTACTTAGCTCGGTTGCCAAGATTGCTGACAAGATCTTATTGAGCAGACTTCTCCGTCTGGAGAAAAGGCTGAAACTTGTTATGGAGAAACAGTCAGGGATTCAGACAGGGTCGTAACACGACCTCGCAACTGGTCCGACGCCGTTTGGACAGAGGGATTTATCGTGAAAATGTTGACGGCACACATGCCTTCATACATGATCGGAATCTTGGATTCTTATCTGGTCGAGCGGAAATTTAGGGTAAGAATACAGCAAGCTATCTCTACAGATTTTTCAATGGAAACAGATGTTCCACAGGGGTCCTGTTTATCCCCACACCTATACTCTCTGCATACATGTAACTTTCCAATGTTCGCAATAACGAATGTAGGCATATATGCAGATGATACTGCCATATATGCTCACGTGGCAACACACCAAATACAGATTCACCTGGATCGGTTAGTTGTACCGTACATGGATAGGAATAAGATAAGGCTAAATCGGTCAAAAACTGAACTTGTCAATTTCACGAAGAAATTCACCGACGTGAAGATCTTCAAGAAATTGACGATTCAAGGAAAGTGCGTGGAGGAACAGAAAAGTGTGAAGTATCTAGGAGTTATCCTGGACAAGCGCTTGAATTTTCATGAGCACTTGAGTCTGGCAATTCAGAGAGCGGGAGCGGCGATTAAACGCAACTACCCTCTCATCGCACGAAATTCTAAACTGAGTGTTGACAACAATCTCCTGATATATAAATAAACAAATTATCAGGCCAGCTATGTTGTACGCTTGTCCTGTGTTCTGCAGCCTCAAGAGGACACGTTGCGGAGACTCGAGACGATGCAGAATAAGGTGCTTCGTATCGTGACTGACAATGATCGATACATTTCATTGGAGCGTTAAGTAGACATAGCGAAGGTCGAGCCAATTACGGATTTAATCCGAAGGCTTACTTACAAACACATCAAGTTTAGTGGTTCCTTCCGAAAAGTCCGCTGACTAGTAATATCACGGCAGTTCGAGTTCATCATAATCAACCCCGGGGTCATGACCGTTTGTAAGTTCATGAAAAAACTGGCATAGAAAACTTCCTGCAGACATTCTGTTTTGGTTTTTTCATTAACTTTTTCCAGGAGTATCTAGCTAACCAACACATCGACAGCTATGTTTTCATTTGAACGAATATCAAAAGCATGTAGTCTGTCTGAAGTCACATTGCTACTCTACCATGAGTACCTCTACCCTTAAGGTAGATGTACTCATGAAATGTAGGCATGTGAATTGTTTATTGTAATAATAAAAAAGTTTTTTGATTTGATTGCAATTTTTTTGCAATACAGTTTGATAAATATGCTCTTAGAATAATCATAATGATGCTTTCATTATCTGATGTTCATTTCATTTTGCAAATAATATTTTTTTTTTTTATTTCAGCAACAACAGTACCAGCACTATCATTAATTGTTCTCGGTTTTCTACCAAATGATTCGAATACTTTATCAGTTATACTGCTGATAGTGGCTGTGGGTGCACAGTCGGCATCTTCAAGTGGATATTTGGTAAATCATTTGGATCTATCTCCAAATTTCGCTGGAATTTTAATGGCAATTTGCAACAGCACGGCATATTTTGTAGGAATCTTCGCTCCAATTCTAGTACAACTTGTTGTTGTTGACGAGGTTAGTAAAACTTGCTGTTTATTATTTTTTCCAGAAGTTATTATTTGATTGACTTAGTGATAAATGAAAAGATTCATAGAATACAAGAATCCCCATATTAACAAAGTGAGAAAAATTCAAGAAAACATATATAAAGTCAATTCTTTGATAAATTCAACAGTTATATCTTTGATAATTTTTTTTGAAAATGTATACTAGGTTACCAGTAATTTTTTTCCCTAGGGATTTCTGTATCACCCTCAGCTATCACTGATGGATTCCAACTACTGGTGATTTCAAGTAAATAAAGTAAAAAAATTATGTTTAACAGTTTTATTGAAAAAAAATATATTATATAGATAATGTTACTGAAAATTTCAAAAAATCGAAAGGTCCTTGGTAGCAGTCGTCACACTACTCTCTTCAGCAATCTACGGTATTGATCGGATAAAAAAATAATAAAATCGTTGGGCGTAGTGTAACCTGAGTAACTATGTGAATACTAAGTCCAATGATTTATTTATTTTTTCATCTGATCAGTAGATTGCTGAAGAGTGTGGTGTGATGACAGCTACCTAGGACCCTCCAAATTGATTTCAGTTTCTAGTACATCATCTACATCATTATTATCTGTTAGGTTTCAAGTAAACTGTTCAACATATTTTTTTAACGTTTTATTTTCAAGTTTTCAGTTTCCAATTTTGTTACTGAATTAATTTCATTTTTTTTTTAATTCATTTAGTGCCTCAGTATTACTAGATAATATGTAATATGCCATTTTGTAGCTACGGCCGTCTTGAATTTGCTACTTTTCCAAAGTATACTACTTTTCTACTTGTCAAGCCCGGTCATTTTGATATCCATATTGGAGCAGTTGTTAAAAAATATGTGAACCGCCATTTTGTATCTGCGGCTATCTTGAGTTTTTTCAAGGTTCAATACTATTTTACCAGTCAAGCCCTGGCAATTGGTACCCATAGATAGATAGATAGTTAGATTATATTTGACCACGTTATGAATATACATTTGTGGTCAAGTCATTTGTGACAGATGGTACAAATTAGTGTGCAAATGGAGTGAACAATATGAAAGCAGCATTAAATTTAAATATGATTTACAAAATAGGTAACAAATAAAGAATCGAATTAAAAAAACTCGTAAATATATGAATAGTAAGTAATGTGGAAAATTAAGGCTATTTAGTCTGAATATGTACTTTGCATGAAATCAAGAACAGAATGAATTTTGTATTATGTACTATTTGATTTTCCTTTTGAACAAATTATAATTCAATCCAGTCAGCACATAATTTGGAAGTTTGTTAAATAACTTAAAGCCCAGAGAATTTCGTGATGTTATTTCAAGTCTGAATTTTCGCTGTGTGAGTTGACCCGCATTTCTAGTTTCATAATTATGATGATCTGAGTATTTTGTTTTTATGTAATTCCAACAGTGAGTAAAAAATCAACATACAGGGCATAGACATTATTCCCAATTTTCTATAAAATAGTTAACAGTGTGCGTCAAATGGAGCTCCAGCTACAATTCTGATGGTTTTTTTCTGCATGCGAAAAGCTCTTATCGCGTTAAGTAGATTTACCACAAAGGAGTATCCCTTATGAAGGTGACAGTGAAAAAGAGAATGATACGAAGTGAGAAATGTTTTATGGCTCAATGCTTTATTTAACTGGCGAAGTAGAAACAACTGTGTCGAGAGATGGTCAATATATGATTCCCATCGAAGCGACTCATCTATCTGTATCTGTAGAGTAGGGAGGGTGAGTGTAGGCCCACAGCACTTAGGCCACATGTGACCCATTGTAAATCTTTCCAAGGAGTTGTCCTCCTAGGTTATCATCCATCCTGTCCTTTCCAGGAAGGTGGACAAGTCACTAGGAAACACATCCTTTATATCGGCAGGTGTAGACCAAGACTTGCCGAACACACCCTCTTGTTGACGATAATTCCGGACACTCGCATAGCACATGCCTGACAGTTTCATCTTCCTGTTCACACATCCTACATTGAGTTGTGTCCACTAACCCCATATTATGAAGGTGTCTCCTTAGCTGACAGTGGCCAGTCAGAAATCCTACTGTTAAGCGTAGATTTTTCCTGGTTATCGCCAGATATTTCTTCGGTGCTAGCTTCCCAGGGTCGCCCAGGGTGATCCTGGCAAGATTGCATTCTTTGATTTCATCTCATCTCTTTAGGGATTGAGCATGAGTGTGAAGTTGGCTAGTTCCGCAATTGTCGAAGTCATCAGGCCGTAGGTGCCACAGGGTCCTAAAATTCTTAGTCCAGTCGCTTCCTTGGCTGGAGAGTTGGCACTGCGATTACCTTCACCCCTGTCGTGACCTTTAACCCATCTCAGGATAATGTTAGATATTATCTACCGAGGCTTCAGCTATATCTAGGTGGCCCTCTAGTACCAGCCCTAAGGTAACACGTTGTCTGTTCAAGGATAATAGGGCTAGTCTGCTATCAGTGCAAATTGTTATGTTTTTTTCAGAAATTCCTTTCCTGGTTATTTCTTTTGTGGCGATTTAGATACCAGCCAGTACTGTTTGAACGACGCTGGTATTTTTTACACTTAATCCTTATGCTTAGTGATCTGGAGTACACTGGAGTACATCCTGAGCCATCTTTGGTTTTTGAGCCGTCTGTATACATGCGTATTGTATTTGTAGCATCTGACTCTGTGTTATGTTTCATTTGTATTTTGTAGGGCTCATTAAACACAAACCTGGGTTCAATTGCATCACTGGTTGCCTGCAGCAGAGGTTGCGCAGTAAGTCCTTCTCGCCATAGGCTGAGCCTCAATTGACCCATTACTTCTTCGAGGTTTACACCACCCGTACGCAATCGTAACATGGCCTTTAACGCAACCTCCTTAACGTACAGGTCCAGAGGGGTTAGACCAGTAATTAATTCCATTGCCGCGGTTGTTCTTATGGCTCCTGCCAAATACAGTCAATTGCTGTATTTGATATAATTTTTGGATGGCTGTGGCTTGTAGAACTTTCGGTCCTTATGCAGTGGCTCCGTACGTTAACATAGGTCTTATTATTGCAGTGTAGATCCAGGTGACCACACGGGGTGAAATAGCCCGTGTCCTTCGACACCTTACAACACGATTACTTACACCATCTATTATTATACCTAATAATTTGATTTGAGATTTGATTATTACCCGGGTATTAGAAGATATAGTTATTTTCTGAGATTTTTTCCCTGTTGAGTTGAAGTTTGTTGAATGTAAACCAGTATTCTGCTTTGTCTTCGGATTCATTGGCATATACAAATAAATTTGAGATATCAGAATTTGATTATAACATTGTGGTGTCGTCGGCAAAGCAGATTACTGTACTGGGTAAAAGGTAATATAAAATATCATTCATATATATTACAAAAAGGGATGCATTCAAGATGGATCCCTGAGGTATTTCATGATTCATAAAAACCTTTCATCTGATAAAGTACCATTTACGTATATCGCCTGCTTTCTAGACTGGAAAAATTCCAAAGCTGATCCTCTGATACCATAAAATTCAAGTTTCCCTAGTAGTAAATAATGGTTTATACAGTCAAAAGCTTTGCTCAGCTCCCACAATGTTGAAATCGTATGGTCTCCATATTCCACGTTTCTAATCACCCGTTGGATGACTTCAAATACTGCGTCGGTGGTAGATCTATTTTTGATGAATCTAAATTGATGTCCATGTAGAATATCATGTTTATTCAGAAATAGTATTAGACGCCCCTTAACGATAATTTCAATGATTTTTTCCCTAAAAAAGGTATAATTGAAATAGGTTGGTAATCATCAGGGGAATTCGGTCTCCTTTTTAATGAATGAATATTACCTTGCTGATTGTAAATACATCCGGAAAACGTCCTTCAATAAAACAGCGATTTATGAGAACTGTTAGAGGTTCTAAAGAATGTTCATATTTGCTTTGAGGATTCGGCTGTTTAAATGATAAATGTCATAACAATTTGTGTCTTGAAGTTTATGAATTGCATCCACTACATTCGCAAGAATCATGAAAAAATAAACATACGGTTTGAAAAAACTACTTAAATAGTCTAATGTACTGGTATTACATGTTACAAGAAATGTAATTATATTTTTGGCCATATTTGAAAAAAATATATTAAATTCATTTGGATTGATATTATTAGTATTTTATTGACCTTGTTTGAAGGTATCTTTGACTTTGTTATTTGACTTCCGAATGGAATGGTCGTAGAGGTTTTTTTTGACCAAATTTATTTCACATTGGTATATTCGTTTGTATTCTACGAAAATAGCTTCATCTTAAGAATTTTTTGAAGGGATGCTGAGTGTTTGAAATGTATTCAATGTATTTCTCATTTGGTGCAACTCATCATTAAAAAAGTTCAGTGGTCTTTGACATATTCATTTTTGGATTTATAGATGGCATTTTTCTAAATTTCCAAAAAATAACAGATTTTTTTAGCATTTTCGAAAAAAATATCAAATTTGACAGGTTTAGAGTAGCACATGACAAAAAGAAACAGGCTGTTTTTCACTCATTTTCCAAGCATAAATCACCTGCGATCTCAAATTTTCATTATATCTTTGATAAAAGTACCCTCCATACTAGAAATATTAGTATTGATATCTCTCATGTACTCATCCTTTTTCAAATATTCCAGTAACCATCTCGTATTTGATAAACATTGGATTCCACTATTCATGAAACAAATGTTGCCAATATTTTTCAACCCATTAAGCCCAAGGGTTGTGACTGAGGAATGTATCACTGATCTTATTGTGTTGTAGCTGTTGATAATACGTTCGCCACTGCTGTTTTCTTTCCAGTAATCACGGATGCGATGATTCTCCCATCATTAGACCAACGTAATGAGCAATTTGAAGTTGAATTGCTTGAAAATGAATTAGATATATTCATGGTGGTTTTTTCGAATTTGTGAGAGAAAGATAATTCCAGAACTTGTTTATTTTCCTCTGCATCTTCTGAGAAAATCGGGAA